CACACACACACACACACACACACACACACACACACACACACACACACACACACAGGTACAGCTATTTTTTTACGGACCTGGCATCGACTTCCATTATTTTCTGCAGCCTATCCCTGACCCTAAAACTAACCTAAAGTCAATTCACCCCTTAGTACTAAACCCCCAACCCACCAACGGCATTTCCCCTTATGGGGACTAGACTAAGGTCCCTATAAGTACCAGTCAGGWCCCCATAAGTAACATTAGGTCCCCACAAGTAGGTGTGTATGCCAAAAAAACTGTCCCACTATAATACCAGTCTTCCCCACCCCCACACACACTTATAGAGAGAGAGAGAGAGAGGGGGGGGGGGAGTAACTTACATGTAACATATGTGAACTTGTGTTTACCAGCAAAGCTTTGTATGCTGAACATTTTGTACAAGTTCAGTAGCCTACATAAATTTTAGAGGCATTTAGAACATTGAGGAGGGTTCTGAAGAGTGCCTTAAGGACATGAAAATCCATCCATCCATCAATTATCATTACCCGCTTCTTTCTTTCAAGGTGACTGGGGTCACTGATACCCATATCCAGCAGTCACTGTGTGAGGGATGGGGTACACCAGTACACTGGGGTACAGGTTGCAAATCCATCACAGGGCCACACATGAAGACAAACATTCACTCTCTCACTGAGGACAACTTAGCCTAACAGTCATGTTTTTGGTCTGTGGGTCAACTCTAGTGTTTTGTTATTGGACTTCTGTGCTCGTCATGGATTGCCCATAACAAACACCATGTTCAGGCATAAGGGTGTCCATATGTGCTCTTGGCACCAGGACACTCTAGGCCGCAGTTCGATGACCGACTTTGTTGTCGTTTCATCTGATCTGCAGTCGCATGTTTTGGACACTCAGGTGAAGAGAGGAGCGGAGCTGTCAACTGACCACTACCTGGTGGTGAGTTGGCTYYGWTGGTGGGGGAGGATGCCGGTCAGACCTGGCAGACCCAAACATATAGTGAGGGTCTGCTGGGAAAGTCTGTCAGAGTCTCCCRTTAGACAGAGCTTCAACTCACACCTCCRGGGGAACTTCAAACACGTTCCGGGGGAGGTGGGGGGGACATTGAGTCCGAGTGGGCCATGTTCCGTGCCTCCATTGTCAAGGCAACTTACGTGAGCTGTGGCTGTAAGGATGTCAGTGCCTGTCGGGGCGGCAACCCTCGAACCCGCTGGTGGACACTGGCGGTGAGGGATGTTGTCAGGCTGAAGGAGGAGTCCTATTGGGTCTTTTTGGCCTGTGGGACTCCGGAAGCAGCCGAAAGGTATCGGCAGTCCAAGTGGATTGTGGCTCGTGTGGTCGCTGAGGCAAAAACTTGGGCGTGGGAGGAGTTCAGAGAGGCCATGGAAAAAGACTTCTGCACGGCTTCGAGGCAATTCTGGTCCATCATGCAGTGTCTGGGGGGGGGGTCACCGACACTGTTTACCGACACTGTTTATGGTGGGGATGGTGCGCTGATGACCTCAATTTCGGACATTGTGGGTTGGTGGGCAGAGTACTTCGAAGACCTCCTCAATCCCATGACAGGTCTTCCCATGAGGAAGCAGATCCTGGGAACCCTGGGTCTAAAAACCACAAAGACAATCAGTATTGAAAAATAAATATAAAAAAACTGGTCCAAATCTGCCTATTTTTGTGTACTCCAGCAGATTAACTCATAAATGTGTGGTTCATCGTGAACAGAGGTAACAAAATAATCTGCACGACATAGAAAAATTTTGCAAGCTTTGCAAATCGTGTGCAAAAAATGGCACACAGCTCGCAATTCACAAATACAAAGAATTCAAACAAAGCGCAACTGAAATTGTGTTTATTWAACTAGTTTCCAACAGTTGATGCTCAGTGAAATAGTGGCTAAAACAGGTCGTTTCAAATTTGTTGCAGTCCAAACACATTATTTAGATGTGCATTCAATAAAGGAAGAATCATTGCCATTTATTTAAAGGCGCTTTAGTTTTTAAGCTCTGTAATGGTTCAGGGTTCAGTTTTATCAAACAATTTCACTTTTATTATTTATTCAGAATGTTTTGTGCCATAACTATCACAACTAAAAAAACCAGGAAGTCAATAGGTCCCTGAGCTAACTTGTCGTAGTGGTCGAACTGCATTTAAACTGCTGGTCCGGAGTAACGTCTGTGGATTTTGTTTTAGTTTAAAGCAGATCTCTCCCACATAACGTATCACATTACTCACATAATGTATTAATGAAATTCAATGAAAGAAAAAAAAATGTGAAGAGATTTCTTTTAGGTACAGATGAGGAGTAAAGAAAGGGGAGAGAAAAGATGAAGTATATAGAACCAGTGTCTTCTGGGTGGCCAGGAAACAGGAGCTGAAAGTTTCTGCAGACACACACACACATACGCGCATGTTTATTCTTCTATCCTCATGGGGACTTTGCATTGACTTCAATTCAATTACCAGTCACGTCTATAGCCTAACCCTGACCCCTTACCCTAAACCTAACCAGAGAAGTACATGCCTGACCCTAAATCTGGCCTAAACTGAATTCACATCTTGGTTCTAACCCCAACCCCTGACCCACCAGGCCGTATTTCCTGCAATGCGGAAATGGGCTTTTGTCCCCAGCCTGTGTGTACCAGGAAAATGGTCAAAAATCATCCCCACCAGGTAGCAAAAACATGTATACACACACACACACTGAGACCCACACAGCAGGCAAACCCATCTCCCATTTTCTTTGCTCCACCAAAATAAGAATGAGAGAACATACCGGCTCAGGTCTAAATCTGACGCACAAAAGAGCTCAGCCACAGTGCCTCGGGAAATAATAATGAATATGGAATGATAGTATTTTGTTCTGCAAATGCAACCAGATGCATAAGGTAGAGGGGTAAAGAAAATAAAAAAATCAGGAGCAGATGTTTAAGAAAGAAGAGGTCTCTGTGACTGTGAGCAGCCGGTGTGCCCTGCAAACATGTAACCTTACCCAGCGTGAGGGATAATCACTTGTAACATGTATATCGCCACGTTGTAATGAGGGAAGGTATAGAACAGAGGAGTTCTGCAGCTGCTCCCTGGGAAAATTTGGTTGTTGAGGAAKCAGACAGACACAACACCACTTAATTAGCATGGAGACGAGGAAACCACACGTCTGACACATTCCTATAGACTACTGTACATGTTGTGGTGGGAGCGTGTGTAGCCGCATATCTTCTTCTATAGGCTGCACTGAGCTCAGACATACATACAGAGCAGTGATGAAAGCTGGCATGGATTACAACAGAGATCTTTGATTTCACCCTGAATAGTGAGGGATCGCAAAAATATTTAGTTTATTCTATAAATGCTTTTTAATCTTATGCATAGAGAAATATTAATTAAATGGCCAGTGAACTGAAATTTGGTCATGACACCTTTTGTCAGTGTTGCAGCAAAGTTTATTTCTGCAGGTTAAGTCTCTGTTGCTTTTTKTAAATAAAGAGGAAAGGAAAATGATGATTTTCTTAAAAAGCTCTGTCTTTTGCAGGCCTAAGTGTTTGATGATTATGACATAACCATAACCATGATTTACAAGCGCCAATAACTGCAGCAGCAACAAGCTTTAGCCCGTGTGATGCAGCCTGGGACACTTCTGACAGGKATATTATTTTCATGCCTAATCATCTATGTAATGCAAAACCGATAAGAATTTAAAGGGTTGAATAATGAGATTTGGAAGAAAAGGTTTGAGTTTATTAAAGTTTAAGTTGGCAAGATTCACTCGAGATGGTCTGCTCAGTCTGGCTCTTCTTAGCTCATCATTCAAGTCTGAATAACCCTCCCTAAAAAGTGGGAGAACTTCATGTAAATAATTTAATGTTAAATTTATGGAAATATTACMTTTTATGCAATATATCTTATACATAAGTTACTGAAATCATTGTATTATGGCTGTAATTAACCTTGGACTTTGCTGCATTTGTAAACACTAGCTTGTCAGCCCTGTCAAAATAAAGCTCTATTTCCTCTTTACAGTGGTTTATCCATGTAAGGATGTGTGCAGGCTTAATGACTCAGGGCACAGGAAGGTTTAAAAAGGCAAAAACAAGCTTTTTAATAAGCAAGGATGGCAAGGCAGCTCAAAATTCACACRGAACACACCACACTGTCTGGTAACAGCACAATGATCAGACAAACACTGAAGAAAGGACACAGAATATAAAGGGAGAACTTAATGAGACAACAAGAAACACCTGGAGGACATACAAGAGGAATCAGGTGAGAATGGGTGGGGCTGGAGGAATGACAGGCAGCAGGGCAGAGATACACAGGGGAACACAGAAACACTAGAAAACTAAGGCAGAAAAACAGACCATGACAATTCAATAGTTATCTACAACGATAATGTATTGTATATAAGCTTTTMACAGAACATCTTTTAAAACGTCCCATACTGTCCCCTTTTAATCCCCCAGATATAATAAATAAATAAATAAATAAATAAATAAATAAATAAATAAATAAATAAATAAATAAATAAATAAATAAATTTACAAGCAAGTACAAAAATCCAAGTGATTTAATAAAAGATGTTCATTAAAAGTAGCAGTCAATGAACAGACTGCTAAAAAAATCCAGCTTGAAAGAAAAAAAACATAGAAGTAATAATAACTTAGTTGTACATGGTTTTATTGTGGGACAAAGTGTATAGATGACATGTCACATATAGTTTAGTGTTATTCTTTATAAAAAAATTCTCTAAATTACTTAGGTAATTGTTCTTTTTTATCATTAAAATTTTATTTAGAAGAATTTATAACACTAAATGACATTCATAAAAATTCAGGTATTGAATTTATACTCTGCAATGCAAAATAAATTTTTATTAGTTCTGAAATGTATACTTTATACATGTTGTAATCTTTTTTATGGTTCCTTTATAGTGTTTTTTTCTGACTTACCATAACTACTGCTCGCTTGAATTTGTCAGATTTGTGAATGAGAAGTGTTTTGTCCTCTCCCAGCCACCGTAGTTTGACGTCACTCAAACCAACATGGCGCTTCTCTGTCGGAGTAATTTCAAAATTCTCTTTAGATGTTTTTGGAAATTAAAGCCTCCGAAAAGGTTTTTCTGCGCTGCAGAGTTTCCGGAAAAAAAGGTACGTGCTCGTGCTTCGGTACGAAGAAAAGAAATAAAATTWGGCTTTTGGGAGTGATTTTAGCAGCGGTTAATGTTTATTAGATGTTAAAGTGTGTTTCCGACCTCTGTGGGTGCTTTATGAAGCAGCAGCTCGTCTGGTCAAACTGAGAGCTAAAAACAAGGCAGAAGAGGTTTGTCTGAAGCATCTTATAACTCTGAATTATCTACTGAACATGTTTGTGTGGAACATTATAGCACAACAGCCGTTCTGTTAGTAAAGCAACTTTTAAAGAGATTTTATTTTCCAAGATGAAAACTTATTTTTATACCATGTTTATGCCTGTAAGTTGTTTTAACAAATGAAGCCAGAAGCTGCAGACGTCGAAGAGATTGCTAAATGGAAACAATTCTCAGTATCTTTTGAGCGAGGTTTTCCTTTTCAGGACATTCAGTCCAGCTGCTACMCAATGAAATCTGTCTTTCATCCTTATTTACAAAGATGAACAAGTACTTCTTAGTTTAATTGTTAATATTATTAGGCTGTTTTGCTGTTTTACAAAGTAATGAACTRAGGAATTAACAGTCTAACAAACATACAATTAAATTAGTTTTTTCTTATAATTTAATTAATTTATTTGTGTGTTTGTTATGTTGGGCACTGCTATAATTTACATGACCCTTACAATATAATTGCTGTGCACACGCAGTCAGTTCGAAGTGGTAGTCTTTCATTTTACAAAGTTGATATTAATATAAAAYAACATATAAAATCATGACAGTCAGTTCATGGTAGATGAACTTATGCTTACTTTTGTACACACAAACATGTGGTTTCCGTATATTGCTGTCATATTCAGCTGTTCATTAATATTATGGCTGCAAGTATATCCGTTATTTRCACTTCTCCAGACTCTGTTAAAGGTTTGGCAACAGAATAAACAGTATTCTGCGCTAGGGTTGGGCAATATTGGCAAAAAAAATTAATCAKGATTAATTGCGATATTTAGGCGATAACTATTATTTTAATGATTAATCCCCTTGAGTCCATGGACACCCTTAGTCTTAGTCACATGACCAATTTAGTGGGAATGATTCGTAAAAATGTGTTCCAGATTGTGTCAAAATTACAGACTTAGGCTATACAACAAATTTTTAATTGTGTTGATAGATAAATAAATTGCACAACTTTTTAAAAAAAATTTCATTATATTTGAAGTGGAAAGGAGCACCGAGCGGACTGAAATCTCCAGTCACTCTGCCTGGTGGCATAAATCGTATTA